CTTCATCTTTCGTGCTCTTAGCCATTCCCAGGTCTTGTTGTTATCTGCTTTGCCTGCTAGTTTTTTTTGTGTGTGTGTGTCTGTGTACTGGCCATGTAATACTTTGCCTTGCCATGTCTCTTTTCTGTTCTTCATTTGGTCTTTCTTACAGGCCACTTTGGTCTCTTTGGTATTCAGTAAGTCTTCATGGTGTACTAGCTCCAGGGCATCTTCTTTACTGTCCTTCAAATATTCTTCCAATGCCCTTTTTTCTTCTTCAACTGACTGGTGTACTTGTTCCATTCCACGCCCACCTATGTTCCTTGGTAAGTAGTTCTGTCAACATCGCTGTGTGGATAAGGGTGTGATTCATTGTCATTATTTTTCTAGTCTTCCTATCCAGGGCTTTTAGTTCAGCTTGAGTCCAGTCGGTGTTAATCGCCTTGATGGTATTTTTGCCACTGAGTTTGGACTTTAAGATCTTCTCTTCTGCTGTATTCACTGCTAACCTTCTTTTTGACTTCAGTGAGCTTGATGTTGTTGTTATTATTATTATTGTGAAGAACATTAATGAGTAATCAGTAGCTTCCATGTGATTCCCACTATCCCTTGTATGGCTACCCAAGTCCCTGAACTGCACCAGAGAGGATAGGGACAACATTTTCAGAGTTGGGGGGGAGGTCAGGTGGTTAAGATGGAAAAAGGAGTGCCTTAAGCTTGGAACAGTAGCAGTTTCATATCATTTTTAAAAAAGGACCTATATCAGACCATTTTTTCCCTGGAGTTAAGAGGCATAATAGTCTTGGCCTCAGCATTGACGCAGAAGGTTGAGTGGATCATTTCTCTATGCCTCAGTCTTGTACATTTCTGGATCATAATTTCTCCATCCAACAGATGGGGAAGAATTAGATTGCGGGGTGGGGGGTGGGGGGAATAACCTTTTGTGTCCTTCAAGGGAACACATTTTCAGTCAAACATTTCTAGCTTTCTCCAATCCAGCCCTCTGCATTTGATGCTGATTACCCAAAAAACGTCTGAATACTTTTAGCACAAAACTTTGTTTAGGAGAAATGTCAAGATAGGTTCATTTTCCCAACTAGTCGAGCTTTTAAAGTAATTCCTGCTGACTAATAAAAAGGGGTTACTGTAAACTGTGGGGTGTCAGATCTCTGCAAAGGCGTTAATGTATCTTTCATACATTGAGAAACTTTGGATAATGCTTCAAGGACAGCTGCTGGGAACAATATCTGAAGCTCTCTTGGCCCACTGAACAATGGAAGAGAAAAGTGGACTTTAAAAAAAGAAATAGCAGTACTATATGCTGAATGTTGACTCATCTGGATACTTTATTCAATATGTGTTTACTAAGAGCAAATCTCTCCAAATGTAGAAAACTGTTATTTTATACTGAGCAAGTAAGAGCTTTTGCCCCCCGCCCTCTTTGCTATTGGAAAGTAATGAAATAAAGTCCTTTGAAAGTAGGAAATCTCAGATTAGACATTTGTCCTCAGAAACAAGCCAAACTTAGTTTGTCCATTAAAAAAGATAGAGGACATGTTTTGAAGGCATCTCTATAGGTGTTCGTAAATCTCTGCATAAATAGAGTGGTGGGCACAGGACTTTAACTCGTACCTTTCCAATGCAAATAGCCAGTGATGATGATGATGATGATGATGATGATTTATTAAATTTATATGCCACCCAACTCCCAGCAAATTTAGCCATTTTTATTTTATATAACTAATAATTATATTATATTGTTTATTTTTATATAATTACAGGTAATCCTCACTTAACAACAATAATTGGGACCAATAACTCTGTGGCTAAGTGACACAGTCGTAAAGCATGACATCACGTGACCATATTGCTTAGCGATGGCAGTTCCAGCACTTCCAGTTGTTGTCATTAAGCGAATCCCACATGGTCATTAAGTGCGATGTCACATGGTCACCATTTGCAACCTCCTGCTGACTTCCCCATTGACTTTGCTTGCGGCAGTGAAGGTTGCAAATGGTGATCACATGACTGCAGGATGCTGCAACATTGTAATTGTGACCCAGTCACCAAGCACCCAAATCACAGTCACGTGACTGCAGGGACACTGTGACAGCGGCAACTATGAGGACTAGTCATAAGTCCCACTCATTCAGCATTGTCGTAACTTTGAACGGTTGCTGAACTACTGGTTGTTAAGCGGGACAACTTGTAATAGATCAGGGGTTGCAATCCTCCATTGTCAATTTTTTAAAAAATGCCAGGATCTTGCATGCTCTCACAGAAAAAATCTCTTGGAAAAATACCAAAATTTTACAGGTTTTAGTGATCTTGTGAGATTTTGACTATTTTGCTTATACAGTGGTACCTCGGTTCACGAACTTAATTCGTTCCGCGACTCTGGTCGCGACCCGAATTGGTCACAACCCGAATCAAATTTTCCCAAAAGGTTCAATGTAAATACGGTTATCCGTTCTGAACCCTCCGCATTT